CAAACCAAAACAGAGACCGACATTCCGGCCCGGAACGCACATTTTCAAAGGAGAATAACTGACTGTAGCATTGTTTTTCAGATAAACAAATATGTTAACTTAGCATGTTTCTTAAATATCTGCAAACATATTATGGTATTTTTATGCTTTAGTTGAGTCAAACACTTACATTCAGCACCTTTAAAGGGGTCATAACATGTTTTTAACGTTTTACTTACTATTCCCACTGAGAAAGTGCTAGTTTGGTATAATTGATATACTATTATATTTTTTGTTAATATTTTGAATTGGATTTTACTTCTATATTTTCTGTTTTTGTTTTAGTTGATAATTTAGTTTATTTAGTTTTAGTTATTTTTGTACTTCAAGTTAATCTGAAGAAATGTTGCTTTGGAAACTAGCTGAAATAAAATCATTTTTAAAAGTTATTTTATATTTTATTTTATTTCAGTAAAGTTTGTTTAATTCCAAGTAATCAAAGTGTTTTTATATGGTTTAGTTTTAGTTAATGATAAAAACCCTGTACTGAATTCAGTCAAAATGAAGTTTTTCATGAACGGTCTTCCACTCTGCTTGACTCTTAAAAATAAATGGCTCATTCTTTTGCTGTTGTCTCTTAAAAGTCAACAAGTTATCACCTTTTGCATCAGATTTTATTTCTATATTATTTCGGTTTCTATTCTCTACAGAGAATAGTAGGGTGGGACTTGATTTTAGAAAGGTGGAGCAACTTTTATTTTGATTTCATGTTGACTTTAAAATTAGATGAACACTTTCTTTAAATGAGAGGCAAGCTACATAAAAAACTAACTTCATTTTAAGATGATGTTGTTACACATTACATATGCTTATTATAGTAATAACAGAAAATTATGCATAATTACAAGAAACTAACCCTACACCAAACCCTAATCGTAACCATACAGAAAGCACATTAAGTTAATTAATATTACTCCGTACTTATGAGGGATGCACGGAAACTTCCCAGCAGGTGTGTTGAGGCAAGCTGGAGCTAAACTCTGCAGGACAACGGCCCTCCAGGACTGAGTTTGGTGACCCCTGGTCTAAAGCAAAAGAGTTGTAAAAATTATGAAAATCTTTTAGAGCTCATAATTTGTTTAAATAAATCTAACGCATTTCACATTAATGAATAAATCATTATATATAAAATTATTTAATTATATGTGTATTTTGCTTTAATTTTATTAGAAATAGGTCAACAGCGCCCCTTATGGAATTAAAACTCCTTACTGAGCGGGCTTTAGGACCCGGGGGAGGCTGCCGCTGCACGTGCTATTACTGTTTACTCTATCATACACCGAATGCGTCAATCTGTACGTGCATTCTCAGTTTAAATGCAGAGATACAAAACAGTGAATCTAATCACCATTCAGGCAAAACTTTGCTTCAAGAATGAGCCACAATGCTGACATGATCTAATAACACTGTTGACGTGATCTAATCGTTAGCACACCCTGAGCACATGCGAGTTAACGCATTCCTCTTATCGGCGAGACATATCGGCATAATTCTTCATATCGGGCCGATGCCGATATTTACATTTAAAGCCATCATCGGCCGATTCCGATATTGGTCATCCGCTGAACACACAGGAGAAAATCAATCAGGACGTTCATAAAACGGATGGTGGAGATGTGACTTTGGACTTACCACCACAGCGCTGGGTGAATGCATCAGTGCTTTCAGCTCGTTGAGGTCACTCTCAGCCTGTTAGAAAACACAGACAGATTAACTGAGTTTACACAAGTTGACAAACCCTTATCTGTTGCTTGCTTGGCTTGTTGTGACCCATTTGACTATTACATACACAAAAAGAGCAAAGTTTTGAAACGCCCATAAGGTGTAATCCTACTAGCTACTGATGGAAATCATAAGCAGTTTAATGATTCTGGTTCCAGCTCTGATCCCACCGCATTATTCCACTTCTGTTAACAACCGTTTTAAAGGAATAATTCACCCAAAAATGAAAATTTGCACACAAAAAAAATTGTCCTCACCCTCAGATCATACAAGATGAGCTTGTTTCTTCATCAGATTTGGAGAAATGTAGCATTGCATCACTTGCTCAGCAATGGATGCTCTGCAGTGAATGGGTGCCGTCAGAATGAGAGTCCAAACAGCTGATAAAAACATCACAATAATCCACAAGTAATCCACACCACTCCAGTCTATCAGTTAAT